TCATCACCAATGCGCTCGTAATTGGAATCCATTGGTTTCTCAGGTTCAGTTGCTTTTACAGGCGCAGTACTGTTTTCGTCCTCCTTGTCTTGATGAGAACTTTTTTCATCACCAATGCGCTCGTAATTGGAATCCATTGGTTTCTCAGGTTCAGTTGCTTTTACAGGCGCAGTACTGCTTTCGTCTTTTTTGTCTTGGTTATAACGTTTTTCATCACCACAACCATGTACCTTGGAATTCATATGTTTCTTAGGTTCAAATGCTTCTCCAGATGCAACATTGCTTTCATCTTTGGCGTCTTGAGAACTTTGACCAACACCTCCATGCCTGACTTTGGAATCCATTGGTTTATTAGCTTCAGTTGTTTCTGCAGATGCAGCATTGCCCTCTTCTTCCTCTTCAGCCTCGCTTTCTTTCTTTCTCTCGTCAGTCTCGTTTTTACCAACACGCTTATCCTCGTCATTTTCTTCCTTAGAATTGGTGTTGCTCTTAGACACATCAGACTCAGTTTTTCTTACTTCTTTGACTTCTTTTTTATCATCTTTCTCGCTTTTATGAGATGTCGAGTCCGACGTATCTTCGATCTCTTTTGCTATCTTGTTTCCTTGTTTCGTCGATCCTTCCCCGTTTTTTTCTATGCTCCCCTCGTCAACTTTGGCTTTCTTAGATGGGACTTCATCTGTTGTATCTTTAAACTCACTTTCTAGAGGCTTCTTTCTTGCATTTAAAATATCATCCTCCCTATAAGATGTCGTTGCTTCGCTTTTTTGACTAGCCGTTTTTGCCAACTTTAAGCCTTCTAGGCTTACATTTAGTCCAGGTGGGACCTTGAGATCACATTTTGATGAATCACTACCATCTTTGTAACTCATATCAGCAGTTGTGGAATCCTCTCTTACTGCATGCCCAGGCTTTGAAGCTGAAAAATTTGCAGCTAATTGTTGATGACTTAGAGCACCTCTCGCTCGTCCAGACGTCTTGAGGGGTTTACTTTCGTTGTCATGTAAGACAGCAGCTTGATTTTGGCACGAACTTCCTCTTCCATAGGATTTTGCATCGCTAACTTTTATTCCATTCCCGGGTAATTTGTTGTTGGTTTCAGAAAAACTTTTATCAAATGGAATTTCTTTCGGAATTCCTTCTCTCGCATCTTCAGATGGACCACATGACGACTCGATATTAGCAGGCATGGCGGTTACATCGTTTTTTTCTTTGCTTTCAACCGATTCATTTTGCATGTCATTTTTGGGATACGCTTTATTCTCGTTGTCGTCACTTTTCCTCTTCTCCACGACGACCTTCTCCTTCTCCTTCTCCTTCTCCTTCTCCTTCTCCTTCTCCTTCTCCTTC